TTTTGACAGCTCATATGTCTGGCACATTTTATGTGTTTTCAAAATGAAGACTTGTTTGTGGTCCAGCTTGCAGGGACTGACATGAACAATAACTCTATAACATTTTGCCTCTCGCCTAATTTAGTATTTTGATCTGACTTCACGAGAGTTTAATAGAAATGACAACATCTTTTATTCTGGAATTAATTTGCAAAATAGTCTTATACTTCCTCCGTAAACAAATATAAAAGCGCTTAGATCTCTAAAATAGTGATCTAAACGTTCTTATATTTCTTTACAGAAGGAATATTTAGTTATAGAGGTAGTACTATTAAATAGTAACATCATTTACTTTCACATAAACAATCAACCGCAAACCAAAAAGCCTAGCTACACTTGCATGTGCCGTGACTTAACATGCTAACTCCATGTAATATTGGATGCAATCTTGATTATTAACGAACCAATCTCATCGTAGTATATAGGTATATTAAAGAAAACAGGCAAGTAGATCAAACTCGTACTCTTTCTTTTGAGTCATATTCCGACTTTTTTTTAACACAGTCATATTCCGACTTGTACTTGTATGATACTACTACAATTCGAGAATACTCCAATTCTATGCGCCAATTTCTTTTAGAAAATAATGAATACGTAGGGCACTACCGGTCAGGTCGGACGTGGGAGGAGCCGCCGCCCCCGTGGCCGTCAGAGATCCCGTTTCTGTCCAATCCCCTTCTCCCGCTGCCTGGTCGTCGACAGCAGCTCCCGGAGTCCCGACCTCCTCGGCCGGCCCAGCGGCCTTCGCACCACCACCCACCACGACCCTCCCTCCCTCCGGTTCCTTTCCTCCAGAGACCCGGCTGGCTTCATCCCACCCCGGCCGGTTACATCGCGCCGCCGCCTCACTAGACGAATCTGAATAGGTATTTGTGTTACTAGGAAATATGCCCGTGCGTTGCAACGGGAGAAACAAACACTTTTACATGCACCATGAGGCTACCGCTCTCTTATTGCAGGCATGTGTAGTTTGCAAAAATTTCTTATAATATATGACAAAGGGAGTAATTAATTAGGGCTAGTAATAACCAAGGTAGCAACTACCGCTCTCTTATTGCAGGCATGTGTAGTTTGCAAAAATTTCTTATAATATATGACAAGTGGAGTAATTAATTAGGGCTAGTAATAACCAAGGTAGCAACCTACGGCAATTGCCTTTTTTGCTACAAATAATTCTTGTTCATTATGTATTGAATGAATGCTACAATACTATGTAGATCAAGTGTGAATCTATCTAAGCTGGTGTAGTACTTCATATTCTTCTTCATAGATTGTGATTTGTGAAATACTATCGTATTACATTATCTTGTTACACCATCTTGTGTCTTCGTCAAATCCTAATCAAAAGCAATGTTGAGTTGATAAGAACTCTATCAAAAGTAATGGCAATCAAGCTGGCATTGAATTGGTGCCCGCTCATCAATCCCACAAACAGTCTCCTTTCACTAATTGACAACTTGACAAATACAATAAAATTATGGTCAAGTGCATGGCCTAACCAAATTGTTCTCATGCTTTTTATGATCCAACCTAAGCTAATTGCTTTGGCCCTAAGTGGCCGAGAGCATGGAAGTTGAGTATCCGCCTAATTGGCCGATCTTAATAATGGAGATGCCCCTAAAAAATATAGGAAGATGAGTCCTGCCTATTCAAGTTTCATCGAGGCATCCAATGAAAACCTAATCTGTGGAGTACTCCCTCGGTTCCTAAATATAACTATTTTTATGGAGATTCCAACATGAACTACGTACGTAGCAAAATGAGTAAATCTATAATCTAAAATATGTCTATATATGTATAGCCTGTATTGAAATCTCTAAAAAAGACTTATATTTAGAAACCGAGTGAGTAGAAAGTAATTGCATGTAGGCATCCCAATGTCAGGACTTTCTTCCGGTAGTACATTCTTTTTGTGAAATATATAGATGTTTTTTTTCTAATGAAAGAATTTAACTGAATCTCCATATGCATAGTGCATAGAGTTCTTCACTAAAACACGACTGCAGTATTGTACATATTTATGAGGCCAAAATTAGAAGGAAAAGAAAATAGTCTTCAATTGTATGTAAACAAAGAACAGAAGATACACACGACATGCTAGCACCTGGTTAATCTCACGCGCAAGCCAATAAATAATTCAGTAAAAAAACACAAAGCAAATTTAGAAAAACTGAACCGTCGTTCTGCTGCTGCTCTGGCCGGTGATATCCATCGGCTGCTGCTCCAAGCATGCAGACGCGGACCTGCAACCACTCCTCTCCGGGAAGCCTCCACGGTTCATGCAGTACGTCTCCCATGCACACAATGAGGCAGCTGCCCGTGACAACAGCCATGTGAGCGCCATGCTGGCTGCTAACATATCCATCAGCCAAAAAAGTACTTCAAATATGTTCAGGTAACACATACTGTACAACATAAATCTGTTCAGACAATAGATACCACAGAAATCTATCCAAATTCAATTAAAAACAAAGAAGAAAGGAGGGTTTTGTTAGCGCAACATGGAGCCAGATGACGTTGGAACCACGATCGGCTGTTTTTGTGAGACCGACGAAATTGAATTGACACTTTGACAGTACATCAGACTGCAAAATTAGCTGCTCCAAAATTCCTTACTGAAACTTTTCCATACACATCGAAACTCTGCACACATGATCTCATGCATTTGTTTCATTACCCATTTACTCTTTGCATGGCCCGCTGTTCACCAAAAGAACAGTGCCCAAGAGAACTTAATCCTGTTAATTCACTACTTGGTAATACCACATAAATCTTGCATACTGGGACAAAAAGTAAGGGAGCGAGCACAGAAAGGCAGGCAAGCAGCCACCTTAATAAATTTGTAGAACCTCGATCAAGGAACACACTGCTACCATGCGACTCAATCCGAAGCCTGCCGATCCGCGCCGCCGGCTTGACGGTGCAAGCGGCCGTCGTGAAGCTGCGCAGCCACCCTCAAACTCCTCCAGCTTGGTACTCCCATGGCCGCTTGTCGCCAACTCGGATCGGAGTATGCTGTCCTTCACCCTCTGCCACTTCCCCGATGCGGTTGCCTACACGCTAGCCCAGCAGCAGGAGCGTCACCTATGGACCGCGATGCGCCTTCGGCCTGCAAGTGGCGGTGGCAGCGCAGTATTTCTCAGTGTTGTACGCCATACAAACAAAAGCATGAATCGCGAGGTTTGCCGGCCATTAGCAATGGTACTGACGACCAATCACCAAACGGTAACGGCGACGGTGCAAGGTTAGTCAGCTGTGTGCTTGGCCCTTCCGACATGGCGGCGGCAGCTAATTAGCCATGCCGATCGTATTGTCCAACGCCGCCAAGAGACTCGTGGTCGTGGCCAACGTCGGCAAGCGCTTGCTAGCCTTCCTCGCCTGCGAGCTCCAGGACGTCGCCGGCATTCGCGATCATAGAACCGTCGCTTTCCTCTCAGCTGCATCCATTGATCGAGGGGCTCGAGAGAGGAGCAGGAGGCTGCCAAGATAGATGAGATCGCAGAGGCGAAGAGAAAGGCGAGATGTTTACGCACTGGATAAGGCTAATCAGCGCCGTGGAGACCTAGGACGTGGCCCAAGCTGCATCGTTTTGTGTAATAAATAAGGATACTAATTCTCCGGCCACGTTGATTTCTTGGACTCCTAGCTAGCTGATAATTTTCCCTCAAAAAAAAAAAGCTAGCTGATAATTATTTGACCAGGTCGATCCCTGGGACTCCTAGCCGATGTATTAGTTTGCAGGTAAAATAGTATCATTTTGGATGTAGAAAATAATATAGGTAAAGAAAACTGAAAGCGTAAATTCACGTGAAGAAGCGTATTGTGACGGTGAACCCGAAGACCCAATCCGTGCTTTATTATTAGGGAGAGATAAAAAAATTCACACAGTAGTACTTTCTTCAATCCCGTTATTTTTCATTGCGTATTTTTTTACCCAAACTTGTAGCCTTCTGTCAGCAGTATGGAGCAACACCCAAAGATTAATATCTTGATCTCCATCCTCCAATTTGTTCTGGTTGCCTTCTCGGCGACTTAAGAAATGCAAAGCACTAGCACAAGGAAGCTGCTAGCATACTGAATCTGCTTTTCCAGCTTATTATTATTTTGGTTAGGACAAATGAGTAGTGACAGGTGAGCTGTCATATTCTTGTGGTAAAAAGTCGAAACAATCCAGTTAATATAAGTGTTTTCTGTTTTTTATACATCATTTTGTAACATACATTGTAGGTTCTATTGTTTGTAATAAAATGTAAACCGAGAACACTCTTACAATTTTCCTCAATTTTAATTCTTTTTAAGAACCTATTTATGCATTTGTTTTAGCATGCGGGACATCATCTAGTAGGCAGTAGTTTGTGATGGCATGCTGCTATATGATTCTCATGCAAATTTTCCTTACAGACATAATCCTGGATGGCAAAGCGAAGGAGAAGTTCGAAGGATAAACCAAATGGAGCAATGGTCAAAAGAAAGAGACCAAGTTCTCAGTTGAGCGACTTACCCATGGTAAGAAATGTCAAATTGGAATCAAGTAGTGATACTCCATTGTCGTTAAGAACATATTCTCTTGTTGCTTTTGAACAATCTAGTACTCCCTCCGTCCCAAAATTCTTGTCTTAGATTTGTCCAAATACGGATGTATCAAGTCACGTTCCGTATCTAGACAAATCTAAGACAAGAATTTTGGGACGGAGGGAGTATTATAATATCGTTGTTTCTCTGCTGCAGGATATATTATGCCACATCATATCATTGTTACTGTTAAAAGAGGCTGTGAGGACAAGCATTGTATGAAGCACTGGAGATATGTTTGGTGTAGCTGAACAAACTTGGAGTTTTCTTTTTGATCAGTGATGCGAAGGAGTTATAAAGTAGGACCTTTTATTCTCCATCCTATATAAGAAGTTCTTAAGAGAATTGATGCAGTCTTAAAACAACACTCTGGAGTAGGGGTTGAGAAAATGGAAGTTGATTTTTCACTAAACGATGAACATGCTAATCACATTGATAGATGGCTGAACTTTGCTATTGCAGCAAAGACAAATCAGCTTATTCTTAATTTTACATCTGTGCATCCTATAATGGAACACTACAAGTTCCCTTTTCAGCTTTTCGATGCTACCAAGAGTTCCATCTTCCAATCGTTGACACTTGGTTCTGTTTCTCTAAATAAGCCTGCAAACTTCAAAGCTTTTCTAAACCTTAAAAAGCTTATGTTAATGGATGTAAATATTACCGACGAAGAACTTCAACTTCTGTTGTCCAACTGCAATGTTTTGGAGTTTCTTGGAGTTGCTCGTTGTCGAATGCTCACAGCCATTAAGACACCTCAACTCTCAGACCACTTTAAGCATTTGCGTGTCTTTCACTGCCCCTTGCTTCAAGAGATAAAGTTGAATTATGGCTTGACAACACTTGAATATAAATACGAAGGTCCATCGATACCGATAGCACCTCCTGTAACTTTGACAAACTTAAGCATAGAGTCATCAGATGTTTGCTCAGCTCTTGCATATATCTCCACTGAATTGCCCAGTATGGTGCGTCGACTGGAGATGATGTCTCTAAAATGTGAAGAACTTGAGGTTCGAGCTGCATTTCGTCTTTCAGATTTGCAATATTTATATGCATCCCTATTGTTTGACTGGATTTATTTTGTAACTTCCATTTTTTTTGTGTGTGTATGTGTTAGAGAGCTATTTTACCGGAGAAGCCTCTCAAATTTATCCATCTAAGGCACCTGAGATTGGAAATAACCTTTTTATCCCTGACGAAAAGGAAGTCCGATGTCCTTGATTTTGCCTCCGTTTTGGAGGCTGCTCCTTTAATGGAAAAGCTGGAGTTTCATGTAAGTCTTTCATTTCAATTTGTAATATGCATGTTTTTTACATATGACTCAGGCTGATCTCAGCAAAAAGGAATTTGCCTTTAACTGTGTAATATGTTGTTCCAATAAATCATCCCGTTGATTTAAACAAATAGGGAGTCTACAAGCTTTAAATCTTTTGAGCCATTTAGACAAAGTTTGGAAAGATGTGCAGTATACCTTACATATAAGCTGGCCACCATAGATCAAATTAACAGTGATAGGGAAGTATGCTGAAATGGTACCATATAGTTAGTCACTCTGTACTTTGGTAAGGAGAAGGCTTTTTATGTGTATATGTAGGTGTAGATTAGACTATGCGTACAATCATGAGAGTTAGTGGAGTATTATGATGATGACAATATGGATGATCTGTTAGTTGGGTAGGAAAAAAAATGACTGTATGTGAGTTGTGCAAAAGAGCAAGTAGACAGTATTGTTTCAGACATTTATGTCAGCACGCCTTGTCTTTCTTGTACAGACTCATATACTGTAAAGTTTTTCCAGTCCAACCAATAGATCATCTTAGAACTTCCTAACCAGTGTTAGTGGACTACGGATCGCACTATAACTTAGCCACTAAGCATAGCAGTTTTTATTTTTATATTTGCTTCTTGGTATGTAGAAAGTGAAATTATGACACATATTATTTAGAGGATTTGTTTTCACTTGGGTGGTTGTCTGGGCTTGGGAGCAACCTCTATTTTGTTAAGTGGTGCTTAGATGCATGCTTGTTGCTTTGACAGATGTGGATGGACTGTGAATGTGTACGATACCGCAAGCTTGATGGCAAGCTAAGGAGCCTCCCCCCAAAGCCACACTCCCATCTCAAGTTGGTGGATATTACAGGATTTTATGGTGAGAAAGATCAGCTGGAGTTGGCGCTTCATATCCTCAAGAATTCTGTCGCGCTGGAGGCAATGACGATTGATCCAAAGCCAACGGTAGCTGCTGAGCAGTGTCGTCTGACATGGAAAAAAGACGGGTTTTCTTACGTGGATGGCTATAGAGTTGCGAAGAAATACCTTCTCAGAGCAGACCGCCGCGGCGTTGTTGACGTTGTAAAAGCCGGTCATAAGGATATTGAAGCTCTAAGGAACGCTCCGTATAAGATGCCTCAAGAAGCTAAATAAGCTTTGTTTTCATGGAGCAGGTCATCCTCAAGAAGCTAAATAAGCTTTGTTTTAATCGAACAGATGCCTGGTGTACCTGGTTGTTTAATACCTTTTCGTGTAGCTCGTTTTGTGGACATTTTTTTTCCATGCATGACTCGCACAGCTGCGTTTCTTTCAGTTCAGTTTGGTTCCCAACTTGGCAACTTCCCATGGTGTGTTTGCCAGTGTTTCTTCCATGTGTTCATCGGTGGTTCGTAATGCAGGTGGGATGATCATTCATTGCAGAATGCCCGTGCGCTCAGCTGGACTGATTTGTACCTGCATCACTCACACAAGATTATGTATATTGAACTAATCAATTTCTATGTTTATGTACCAAACTAAACATCCACGACAACTTTATGTACTGACCGTGTATTTTACTCGATAAAACAAGTGTGAACTCCAGTCACTACATGCAATATATGTACTCCTAAAGCCAACAAAAGATATCTGAAAACGGAAGAGGCATGACATGCCTTTTCTCTTCTAGGAGTCAAAAGATCTCTCAAAACTAAAGAACAGAACAAGCTCATCTCAGGTAGCTATGTTACTAAACGTTGCCAGCCTTTGTTACTGCGGTGGCATATATATCCCCAAAAGTAATTGACAGAAATCCAAAATTTCCAGTCTTACAAAACGGAAATAAAGAAGAGCAGATAAAAGTAGAATATCACAGCACATTAGATAAAACAAGTGAACTAGTGAACATCCATAATTTCATATATAGACTGAGCCAAATTCAATACATAATCACTACATGTACTCCTTCAAAAGCCACCGAAACATGTCTGGAAACTGAAGGAACATGACACGCATTTTCTTGACAGAAAATTTTTGCGAGTGTTTCTTAAAAAAGAAATTGCGATCAAGAACTGATACTGATAAAGAAGTTTTGATAAAATCGTGGTGCATCA